GTGGAGGAGGAGAGGAGGGCGGTGATCCCTGACAGAGCTCTCGAGCAGGTTGTGGGGAAGTTTGCGGCGGTTCCTGAGAAAGAGCGTCTCCATCTTACCTCTGGCTTGTTTGGCCACCCCCAGCGTGTGCTCCCGCCCCCTAAGTCCGACAGTAAATCTGAGGAGGATGATGGTATCCAGTTTCAGTTTTTTCCCGACGGCTTCGCTGCGGAAGGCATGGAGCTGCCCCGCGATTGCCGACGACAGATGTGGGGCCACGTATTTTTAGACGGCTCGTGCTCTCGCCATGTAGTTCGCAGTTCGAATCGTGCAGGATGGGGCTTGGCTATGATAGGCCCTCGGTCGAACCTCCAGGCGTGGTGTTGGGGGCCTGTCTGGGGTAGCTGCCCTCAGACACCACAGGCTGGAGAATTTTCGGCATATGCTATGGCTTGCGCGCTCCTGTCCGCGCCAGCAATTCTTTATTCCGATTGCCAACATGTTGTTTCGATGCGCGGTGTGGCCCGACGCGAGCAACTTTCCCCCAAGCGTCCATATTCGGGGCTGTTGACGCAGGGTCGTTCTCTGGGGGGAAAATGGACGCTTGGATGTGTGAAAGTGCCCGCTCACCTTTCAATCGATGATCCCGAGACCGACGATGATGAACGGTTTCGGAGGATCGGAAATGACTTCGCCGACAGGGCTGCCAAGTTGGGGGCTGACTCCCACCAGGCGCCGTCGGAAGAGGTAGCCAACGAATGCACTGCCCTCGTTAATTCGGCTCTCATGGCGGTCAAGCTGTGCGCCGCGCTGCTGCCTCTCTGGCCGCGCACGGACCTCTCCCGTGCCGTGTGGTCTGCGCCTGCTCCTTCCTCTCGCACTCCTGTTACGCCCCATAGGTGGGAGTGGCTGGGTCCGCCAGGAGGGGGTCAGCGTTTTTGGAGTTGCCAAGGGTGCCTCAGGACGTCACGCAATGCCGCTGACAAAGCCCCAGCCCCTGGCCACTGTTCTGAATCTTTGAGAGTTGACGTTCGGCGGCTTAGAGATTTTAGCCACAAGTGTATCCTCCTGGATTGTTCGAACGGGTCGTTTGCCGTCGTTTGTACTGTGTGCCAGAGATACACTAGTGGTGCCCGTTTAGCAGCTCTCAACAAAACTTGTCCAGGTCAGAAAGTTTCAGCATACAACTCTGACGCTTGGAACAAGATCTGTAAGGGACTCCATCCGAAAGCGAAAGGAGTAACCTTACTCTCAGACACTTACAGTGTGCTTTAAGCATGCAGCGGGAGCCAAGGTGCTCAAAACAATCCTCCTCCTCCTCCTTCTCCTCCTCCTCCTCCTCCTCCTCCTTCTCCTCCTCCTACTCTTTCCCTCCGTGGATGGCTGAGCTAACCTGCAAGTTGGCGGCGCCGTTGTACGGTTTCAGGGGGACCCAGGATATCCGAGATAACGCGGGGGTCGATGTCCTTAAGAAGATCGTCCGAGGACTTCGCCCTTCGGGTATGTTCGAGGACAGGGTCCAGACGAGGGCCCTGGTCACCCTGAAGGGGCCCCCCTCGCTCCTCCTGTGGAGCCTTCTGCTCCTCCTGCTGCTGCTTCCGCCACCTCTCTAGTTCCTGAGGACCCAGAGTAGCTTCTGGAACATGGTGTCCAGCCTTGGCGGGTTAAGCAGCACTGCGTTGTCGAGAGGGCGGTGCCAGAAGGCCCCCCCGCTCATCTTGTGTCCCAGGTGCTGGCAGTACGCCGCCACACCGATGCTGCATGGGCTCTCTATGTTTTGCAGGGGCCCCGGGGACCTCAAAGGGGGCACGGCCTTCACTGCGCGGAAGAGGCTGCGGTCGCACAGCAGGTCCAGGCTCCAGCGTGCCGCGCCAGAGCCGAGTGCCGCGCGGCTCGCGGGTGCAGAGGGGAGGGGGGAGCCCATTTCAAGGAGGAGGAGGAGGAGGAGGAGGAGGAGGAGGAGGAGGAGGAGGAGGAGGAGGAGGAGGAGGAGGAGGGGGAGGAGGAGGAGGAGGAGGAGGAGGAGGAGGAGGAGGAGGGAGGAGGGGAGGGGAGGGAGGAGGAGGAGGGAGGAGGGAGGAGGGAGGAGGGAGGAGGGAGGAGGGAGGAGGGAGGAGGGAGGAGGGAGGAGGGAGGTCGGTCGGACGCAGGCTGGGACGCTGGGTCGTGCTCTGTCAATCTCGTGGGGTCATGCGCCTTGAAGGTCCGCTGGGGCCGATGTCACCCTGGGGCCAAAAAAGGAACAAGACAAAATTACCCGTGGGGCCACAGAATGGCCTCGAAATGCCATGGCGCGACGCGTTTGCGCTTGCGCTCTCTGGCTTCTGCACGGTTCTTGCGAATGCGCTCAAGCTGCTCAGGCGTGAGCTGAGCGAGCGGAGGAGGAGGAGGAGGAGGAGGAGGAGGAGGAGGAGGAGGAGGGGGGAAGACGACTAAGGTAGCCGAGCCAGGGACGGGGCTGTCCGCACCCAACTCTTGGGCGGCCTCCTCGTCCGCCTCGAGGTCGTAGGCCGACTCCTGCGGCCGAGGATCCTCTTGGGCCACGGACAGAGGAACCTCGGGAGGCAAGGCAGGGGCACCAGGGACCAGGAGAGGGGCAAAGGCGGAGGGAGGGGAGTCAGGAGGGTCCCAACGCCACCTTTCAGGATCAACTTTACGTTTAACCCTGAGGCTGCCGGCATAGTCGGGAGCCTCCCAGAACTGTTCGTGGTCCGACCAAGGTACATAACATTTACGTAGGACAGCATCGTCGAAATCCGTTGTGGCTGGCATCTCTGGAGGATCTCCTGCCTCCGAGTTAAATGCAGTGTTGATGGCGTCCCACATGGCCGTAGCGATAGCACTGCACATGGACGGTGGGTACGTCTTCTTGCAACTCGTTTTGAAAGTGCCGTCGTCATTCTTGCCCACAAGGGACAAGTGAACATTCTTCCCGTGGTTGCAGAAACCATTGTTTCGAACTTTCAGCAAACTGTAGAGTCGTGGTAGCCGTAGGGCCAGGATGCGCGTAGCCCCTTTGCCGTGCTCCTTAGGATTCCCGTCGCGATGCATACACTGATCAAACTGGATAGTACTGACAAGCGGGCAGCTCTCCAAAGCACGCATAGGCATCCACTGGAAGCTGGAAGGCGCTTGTGGGCGCCAGAGAGCTGGAGGTGGATGTTCTATCCACCCGCACGTGCCTGCTCGGATATGCTCCGCAAGCAGTTGGGCAATTGTAAACAGTAGGAGATTGCCCGTAGAGGAGGGAGGAGG